GTCTGAAACAGAGAAGCGTTCAGACAATTACTGCAAGACATTGGAATAGTGATACTGGTCGAGACTACATTGTTCTCTCTACTAAACCTGATTGTTCGTACTAACACTTTCTACTTCTCTGTATATATTCCTGTTTGTAATATATCTGTGTTATTCCATACTTGTGCTCGAGTTTTTCTTTATTGGTTCTACCTTGGACTATCACCGTGATACAAGGAACCGGACCATAACACATATAAAATACAATTTTTATTGTAACCTAATTATGTACAATAATGGATCGTATGCAATATAGCTGAACTTTCATCTAAAAAAATTGAAATTAAATACAACGTATCTAAATACAAATTAGAGACATGTTATAATATATCATTGCATCTTTAATAAATCAACAATATTTTTTGCGGCAATTTTTAATTTGTAATTTGAGTTTTCTCTTGTTAAAAAGTTGAATAATTTAACGCATTCAAAATTATGGATAAAAATAGTGAATGTTTTTTTCTAGACTTAGCATGGACAAAACAAATTCACCGAATGGGGAAAAAAAACCCAGAATGACGTCAAATTCCGCGAAAATGTTTCATCCTTTAATAATCAGTTGTGCTTAGTTTAATTTTTAACGTAGTTCGCGGATTAATTTTTTGATAGACTTAGAAAAATACCAAAATTTTCTTTCGAATAGTTTTTATTTTCCCAAGTACTTTCAATCTCATCTGAGGCCATCTTTAGAGGGTTAAATTGTCTGTATGTATATGTGTTTCTGTAAATTTAAAACATTTCAACTGTTCGGTTTTTTTAACTGCTTATGCAGCGTTCTAGATTTCAATGTTTAAAATTCACGTGTTATTTGGGGGGGGGTTCAGCATTAGTGAAGTAAACACTTTTTTTCTCATACGTATATAATTCATTTTCCTTCATAATCATTTAAGGACATTATTGCTATACTCATAGTTAACTTTATTTATTTTGGACTTTAACTCTCTTACATAAAGGGCTTCGAGCATTTTTTAGTTTTTATGAAATATAAATCTATTTTCAACTAATATCCGTCAGATCTGTGAGTGCGAACATGATTGTTCCGTTTAAGTGCTGATGTATCGAGCTCTGTTCAGCCAAATGAAATGCAAGTCTTTTTGTTAGCATCGTCGTAGTAATGCCAACGTACGTAATGACATTTTCATCAGAGATACAATCACCTAAAGGACATTTAAATTGATATACAATGTTGACCTTTTGCAAGATGCTAGTTGGCAGAGAAGAGTTGTTTTGGACAACTAGGTTGGTTGTATTAAATTTATTATCGAAAACTAATCGACATGATGTGTCTAAATTATTGAACCAAACCTGTTTTAATATATATATATATATATATATGTGTGTGTGTGTGTGTGTGTGTGTGTGTGTGTGTGTGTGCGTGTAAATAAAAAGAAAGAACAGTAAGATATATAATCCGGTGTTCTTATAGATATTTTTCATTTTTACAAAATAGTGCTCAATGTAAATTTACAGAGGATTAATATTATAAATTGATTTATTTAAAATACGTTTTTTTTTTCGCTACACAGTTCAAAACATGTTTCAAAAATGGAAGCTAAAAGCTACGAATTTAATTTTGTAATTAAATTAAAGAAATTAGTTTCATATATATATATATTCATAGATAGATAGATAGATAGATAGATGAAGAGAATATTAAAATGTTAGGCAAGATATTGAACAAAATGAGTGCTGTAGTATAAATGCATGTGTCCGCCCATCGGATGCTTCTGATGAGACAATTATGGCACCACGAAAACCTTCTCGTGCATTTCATTTCCTTTCGCTTCCATTAAAAGCTCACGGTCACGTGATCTGAACTGAAAAGCGATGCCATCTCCCAGTTGGGCCATTGCATATTGAACTGATAACGAGGCTGCCAATGCGAAGATGCTAATAAGGTCGAGCAGTTGACAGCGACCGGAAGTGTCGGCAGAGCGTTTGATACTGCATGGCCCTTTTGAGTGCCAGTAATGGCAGATTACTAGAACGGCTAAGCAGCTGAGAGGATGCAGAATTAGCTATTTACTTAAAAAGGGTCGAGGTCAGTTAGTCTGAAATGAAAGAAAGAGAAAAATTGAAGGAGAAATGTTCTCAGTGGCAGAGGAACAATATTGTTCACGTTATACAGGGCCCAAGAGCCATCCGAGATAGACGGCTTCATAGTAAGACGTAAGAGGCACACTTTATTAGGATCCGTGGAGAAAATAGCGGTTAGCCCTAGAGTTGAAAGGTTAATATTTTAGTGATAAGGGGAACATCCTCTTGGGAGTCAGTTGTTCAAAATAACGCTTCGTGGGAAGAATATGTTCGAGTAGAAATTACTTCTTACCAATTGAATATGAACGGGGAATGAAATTAGTTCCTTACACTATGCAAGTCAGGGTTGTGAAGGTTATATTGAAAGAAAGAAAGAAAGAAAGAAAGAAAGAAAGAATGTTTTGCCTGTAATTAGGAAGGAAAGAAAGATAAGAATGTTTGGCTGGAGGTTAAGAAAGAAAGAAAGAAAGAAAGAAAGAAAGAATTTAACAAAGATAGAAAAATTGAAGATGACTGTTATCTACCGTACCTATAAACACTAATGGCTATGTCCCAATCCTCATAAATACGTTGGACACTATTGTAAGTGGAGCTAATATGCTGTCTAAGTAGTCCACCACTAGCAGTGGTTTACCTACTTCCGGCGCTGACGAGTATTGTATTTTGTTAATGTTATTAAGATTACCATTTCATTTCCAACCTCCATTTTGGTAATTCCTCATTCCTTTCTTGGTTACAACAATGACAGAAAAAGAGAATTGAGGGAGTCATGAACGAATTGTAAAGGAAAAATAAGAGACGGAAGGAATGAGTTTAAAAATGAATTAAAAAAAACACGATGAAAAGAAAGTAAATCCTATTTAAAAGCGACAGACACAAGACAAAGAAGAAATCATAAATTGGCTATTTCCTTATTCACCAAGGGAGAAAATGATATATCATTTTTATTATCTACACGAATAAAGTTAGGAAAATCAATTACAAAATGAAAAACATTTATGAGTGATTCACTTCGTATTACAAAAAAGAAAAAACAAAATTTAAAAGTTTAAACTTTCAGCGTCTCCTTTCCTTCGTGTTCATGTGTAATCACATCAATTTAAACACATCACTTTAATGTGATTAAATCCTAAAGGATAAAACGCGTTACAAAATGTTTCTTCTTTGTCATTAATTTTCTTATTTACCACACTGGTCTAAAAAACAATTCTGTAAACGATTGATCCTCCTTCATATTTTGCCAACGGATCAGGAAAATATATATATATATATATATATATATATATATATATATATATATATATAGAGAGAGAGAGAGAGAGATTAATTAATTTAATTTAAAGAAAAACAGACGACTTTAAGGTTGCATTGATATAATTCATTTCTCTGGTGAAATAAATTATAACAATGGGACCTTAAAGTGGTCTGTTTTTTCTTTAAATTAAAATATTCGCTCTGACTTGAATTTGAGCACTCCTGATTTCATCCTCCTTGGGATTATCCATACGGATTACCAAGATTTTCGTTACTTATATATATATATATATATATATATATATAATATCAGATTCTAATTGGTAGGGATTATTCCTAAGAGAACTTTTTAGTCTATATGATACAAAGATAATTAGAAAACAACTTTAATAATCCATAGTCAGTATTAAATTTATTTCGATGAATATAAGCACATTCATCTCACAAGACCTACTACATTTTATGAAATGGAATAAATATATTCTAGACACGTAGATATACAAAGATAAAAAAAATAGAAAAATAAATAATACAAGATAAAACAATAGCAAAAATTACAGTTTTCTTTGGGGTCTTACATTATAAAGAGAGTCTTTATCTCTCTCTCTCTCTCTCTCTCTCTCTCTTCATAATTTAAGCTTTTAAGAATGACACCTTGACACTCATAGGCACGCACACATACAGGTGTACGCACTTTAGTTCACACACATATAAACAATCTGAAGCCAGGCGCAGATACGCATCCATATATATATATATATATATATATATATATATATATATATATATAACTATTTATATGCATGCATAACGCTCTCAATATATATATATATATATATATATATATATATATATATATATATATAAGACATTTTTATGTTTATGCGTTCTTTTTTATTGATACAAACTTCTCGGCCATTCAAGCCGTTAAATGTCGTTAATACTGTTTATTAAAAACAGAGCGTTTACTTAATTATTTGTATCTATAAAAAGAATGTCTTCAAAATAATTTGTATCTATAAAAAGAATGTCTTAAAATAATTGTCGGACTTCGTCCATTTCATATATATATATATATATATATATATATATATATATATATGCATGTATTTGTATATATATATATATATATATATATATATATATATATATATATGAATTGGAATCAAATATGAATAAAAATCCAACAGAATGATAGAAAAAGTAACAAATAGGAAACGTTTATAAATTGAAGACGTTTCGCTTTTAATTAAGCTTCATTAAAAATGTATTAAAATGAATTGTGCAAGAGAATGTTCGGATACATTTGAATTTTGTTTTGTTTATTTTTTCATTAGTCAAATCTCACATGAAAAGAATTGTCGATCCAGGTGATAATTTAATCAAATTGTCCTTGTCTCATGACCCACCAGGCGACAAAATATCGTTGAAATTCCTTAAGAAATTTTGGAGATAATGTGTGGATCAACATTCATTAAATAAATAGCGTCTACCAATGACAGTAATAAGAAAGAAAAATAATATTCTCAAATAACCAAGTCATTGTTCTTTCTTTGATTCTATTAAATTTCTTTCCAGGTAAAATCCCCGGAAATTATGTCAACGTAAATTATTCGTTACCTTTGAGTGCAACGAGTAATCGTTTAAAACTTCTCAGCAACGGTTCTTTGATGATTATGAACTGCAAAGAGACTGATATGGGCTACTATTTGTGTCGGGCAAGCAACAGTATTGGTTATCCTCTCAGTAAAGTAGCTCACTTAACCGTACACAGTAAGTAAACATTTCACTATCTGTCTATATTTCTGAGATGATGCATTATGTACACTATTTAAATTATTCGGACTATTATCCTCATCTTTGTCTCCATATTTATTACAACGTTTCGGCCGTTGTACGCTCCGGCCTTCTTCACTATCTGTCTATATTTCTCTGATGAGGTATTATTTACACTGTTTACATAATTCGGATTATTGTCCTCATCTTTATTTCCATATTTATTACAACGTTTCGGCCATTGCACGATCCGGCCTTCTTCACTATCTGTCTATATTTCTGAGATGAAGTATTATGTACACTATTTAAATTATTCGGACTATTTTCCTCATTTTGTCTCCATATTTATTACAACGTTTCGGCCGTTGTAGGCTCCGGCCTTTTTCACTATCTGTCTATATTTCTCTGATGAGGTACTATGTACACTATTTACATTATTATGACTATTGTCCTCATCTTTGTCGCCATGTTTATCAACAAGGACACGGTGGATAAAGCGTTAGTTAGATCCAGTGACAGGACCCAAAGAGTGTGAGTTCAATACCGGGTTAAGGCAGTGGAGAACTTTCAGAGGGGAATTAACAGGAGATAAGTGACATCCATTAGACATGGCATGTGGAACTAGAACAGTCTACCCCAGTGAGCGACATAAAGGTTTTAGTTCGACATTCCAACCACCTGAAGAAGGCCGGAGTGTACAACGGCCGAAACGTTGTGATAAATATGGCGACAAAGTTGATGACAGTAGTCCGAATAATGTAAGTAGAAATTTATATTATTCAATATGATGAAGCGTTTCGTTCCAAGAAAAAACCTCTTCAGATAAATAGCGTTTTTGTTCATGTAACTCGGCTTAGAAAAAAAACTAAATGGTCCAATGAATTCTGAACGGTTTCGCCATTCATTCATTAAAAACTTGTTTTTATTTTTGTATTGATATGCTTGTCTTTGTATATCCATCTATCTACCTAAGTTTGTTGATATACCTCCACTATCTACATATCTGTATTTATCTATGTTGGTTTGGTTTGGTTTGTTTTATGTCATATAACCACAAAGGGTTATTTAATGCCAACAAATTTATATATATATATATATATATATATATATACATGAATAAAAAATATTCTTTATAACAAAATCACTTTGTAAATCAAGTTTCATTAACACTTTTTCTATCCAGGACACTAATTATTGCATTGTTTGGTTTGGTTTGGTTTGGTTTGGTTTGGTTTGGTTTGGTTTACGGCATATCAACCTCAATGTGTTATTTAATGCCGACAAAATTTTTATTGCTGGTAATATTTTTTTTTAAAAAAATGTATTGCTGCTAATAGATTTTTTTCCAAAAATGTACTGCCGGTAATAATTTATTGCCAGTAATAATTGTTCTTCAAAAATTCTCTGTTGGTAATATTTTTTACAAAAATGTATTGTTGGTATTAAAAACTATATTTACATTTTCATAATGTTTTGATCCCAGTTTCGGGAGTTAACTATCTGCCCATAGCTGGGACCCTAACAGGTGCTACCACCCGGGTTAGAGTGAATCAGAGGCTTTGTTGTTGAATGTAGTTTATCATCTTACCCAGGACGCAGATGTAGATTATTGACTTAACCGGGACGGTATACTGTTTACTTGTTAACAATATGAACTAACGGGGACAAAGTAACGTAGAAATTTAAAAGATTTAAAACTTTATAAATTATTCTAATTAAATTTAAAAAAAAAAATGAAACACGTCTTGCAGAAATTCATTATTCGTCGAAACTAATTTCTTATGACAATAGTGTCCTTAATATATCTTATTCATAAAAGCAATTAAAAGCGTTTCTAATTAATTAATATCTTACTTTCATTGCATGTTTTATTTTACGATTTAGAGCAGATTTTCTGTAACTGGGGTCCTGTTTTACAAAAAAAAATGATGATTTAATTTCCCTAATGTTTTCTGCGTATAATCAATATAAACTTTAAGTGGTACAAAAATTAATTTTTTGTAATTTCATAAAATTAAAAAAATTTGGAATAACAGATGTAAAAAGATTTTTTTTCACCAAGATTTTCTAAAAAAGTAACATTTCTAAAATAATTTTTCCATTTGTGAATAAGTACTGAAATTTCAAGATCAAAAGGCAGCAACATATTGTGAAAAAAATATATACCCCTGAAGAAGTCAAATATACCCTGGTTGAAAGGTTAAAGAAATATCAAAGGTGGTTTTTGAATGTATTTTTACATCACGAAATATTTAAATTTCACTTTTAATTATCACTTAAAATTTTACGCTTTAATTCTATTCATTCTATTTGATTTTTCTTTAGTTCCGGCTCGATATACAGACGACGTGCAGAAAAATTATACCGTCAAAAGGTCGGAAAACACGACCTTGGAATGTTCTGCCAGCGGCGACAAACCGATATTTGTCACCTGGCGTTTTGGTTCGGATACAATTAACAGCCAAGTGAATCCCAGGTGAGTCATGCCCTGAATGTTTATTTGATTAAATTTATGTTTCTCGTTAATCACCAGCTGTTTGTCTCGACGTTTTAATCCGTGAAAAAGTCACCCATTATCTAAATACTTTAAATAATTTTACCAAAGAGACTACGACAAATGGCATACAGAAATCCGAAGGTGGAAAAGAATTAAACGAAAGATGATTTTTATTAGAAACTACTTAAAGTATTAAGAGACGAAAAATATTGTTAGATTTTTGCTGAAGTGCCATGTAATATCTAGTCTCCGATATGGCAATGAATGATGGCGAGTTACCCTAAAGGGACTGAGATGTGATTCTACCAACAAATGCTAAGAATACCATAGACAAAATATGTGAGTAAAGATCTTTTTAAGGTAAAAACAAACAATAAAGATACTTTGGCAGTATTTAACTTTCGTGCCGGCCAAAAAATAACGGTTTCTCAAAATAATGTGTATGCCTTTGACGTCGATATACTCTCTCTCTCTCTCTCTCTCTCTCTCTCTCTCTCTCTCTCTCTCTGTATATATATATATATATACACACACACATATATATATATATATCTGTGTGTGTGTGTGAGTGTGTGTAAAATGAAATGTGTATCTATATAAATATATATATATATATATATATGTAATTTTTATATACATTATTTATATATTATATATGCGCTGTACTTATTTGAAAGCGCTCAATATCAGTGATAGAGCTAACATATTTACATCTCACATCAATCAATCCAACTAAAAATATATATATATATATATATATATATATATATATATATATAATATATATATTCACTACAAGCAAGCATTTCACTAAGTGCCACTAACACACGCAAGGGTTACAGAAAGTGAGAGCAAAAGTAAAAAGTGGTGTTTGAGGAAAGGATATAGAGAAGGAGGGCGATCGGAATCAAGGCATCAGAAGATGTCGATTGACATTACTATTAAATATTTGAAGATCATAGTTATCATGTAAGCAAGAAAGAGGAAGTTAGTTCCACTGTCGGGAAGTCCGGGAAAAGAAGCTGTTGGAATGGTAAAAGAGACGGCTACATTTAACCGTTTCGACAGTGAACGGGTGGGATTGAGATGCCAATCTAGTAGCACGCTTAAATTCATGCAATTTGGGAACCAGTGAAAGTAGCTCGTCAGAAAAGTTGCCATGGAAATATTTGTAGAAAAGACAGAGAGAAGCCACAGCACATCTGTGAGAAAGTGAATGCAGACGAGTTGCCAGATCAGAACCTATCACATTGCATATATGTCCCTGGATTTAGTCGAGGACGCCGAGACGAACAGCGGGGGCACCAGACCATATATGGCAACAATATTCAAAGCATGGACGAATGGTTGATTTTTAGATTTGTAGGATAGACTCAGGCGAGAAAAAAAACCTTCTGGCACGACACAGGGAGCCAAGTTTCCTTGCGATAAAAGAAGCTACTGATTCAATGTAGTTGTTCCACCTCAGGTCAGCTGACTCCCTCGGCCATATCTATTCTTTTAAAAAGCGATGATTAGAATTTTAATAAAACAGGATTTTATTTTCTTTGTTCTTAATTATTGATAACAAATTTGCTTTTAGAGCACACTGATTTCCCGAAAGGCATATGTGCATAGTTTAGAAATTGTTTTGTTTAAGTTTCGGTTACGAAACTATGCAGTATGCCTTTCGAGAGACCAGTGTGCTCTAAAAGCAAATTTGTTGTTAATTCTTGATGTAATGAATACGCATACACCTGGGTTCCCCCTCACAGTAATATGATTGGCTGGTGTCAGCCATAAATACAGACTGATGTGGAGGTACATGACGACGCTTTTGACGACGCCTATAGTCTTTGCCTATTGCCTACCACTACGACGAGGACCAGTCCATTACGGTTACCTGCTAGATTGTCCTGCCCGGTTACAGAAGTCAACAACTACTTTGTTACTTCGAACAAATATATGCCTTTTCGGTATATATTAGTTTTATGGACAAAGAAAATAAATTCTGTATGTTTGTGTTTTATTAAAATTCTGATCATCGCTATTTTGTGAAGGCAAAATGAAAGAAAAAAGAAGTAATTCCGCCAAGTGTTGTTGAACGTCAGGGAGGGTAGTACATTATATGTTTCTTCGCTGCTAATGACCCTGCCAAACACAGCTGCATCTAAAAATTTGAAAGAAACATGAGGGAAGACGTTGTTTCTATTCATCAGTCAAATTTCGAGGCGCCATCTTCAAGGATATATTTCTCATTCCAATGGCGCACAATTTTCCTCTTCATATTCAGTTCCTATTCCTTCGTATTCTGTCTATAATTACACAAGTTCTTAGTGTTTTCGTCTCCCCACTTCTCGCCTTTCATGGAACCGCCTATGACATTTAAATTCGATTCCTTCATAGAAGTTTTTACGATATGCTAGCTTTCATGAGCAGTTGTACCAATGTCCGTAATAAAAAAAAAAACAAACAAACAATACTAATATCCTGCTCCGGAAACTTTTTATAACATGAACAAGTACAACCTCCTCTAATGCTCAGCAAAGAACGACTCATCAGGTCTACGTCTCAAAATAGCAATAGTTGGAAAGATGCTCGGACGTAGTTGTATATGGAAGTTTACCTAACTCATTACATTAGCGATACGCTACAGGCTTTCCGGGAATTAGATTGTCATACCTCATTACGCATACATGCGTTAAATTCACAACACACTGATATATATATATATGGAGTGCGATGGATAAATATTTGTCTAAATAACACAAAAATGAAAATAATACTGATATCTCATTTTAACAGATATATTTACCAAAATGACACAAAAATATCTTAAAACACAAAGGAGTAAATGTATTCAATAGAATCGCCATTGTATTTAACCACAGCCTCCAGATGACTTCGGAATCTCCTGCAGCTCTTCTGGTCAAGTTAGTGAATGCTGCCATAATCCTTGCCTTCAGTTTATCGTTAGTGTTACAAGGAATTTTTTGGTCTCTCGCACAATTGCGCCCCACGCACAATAATCAAGGGGGTTGCTGTTTTGGAAGTTAGTTGGCCGGATGTAAGACGTAATATGGTCGTAGAAATTGTCTGATATCCATGATTGTGCTCAGCTTGTGTGACGTGACGCAGAGTCCTGTTTCCAGAGATAGGGTCTCCCAGCAGAGACCCTCTTGACCCAGGGTAACACTACTTCCTCAAAGCAGTTCTCCGTGTTGAGTCTGAGGCCTTCACCAACAAATTCGGGAGTTCTTTTCTTATCCGAATGATCAGAGTGACTTCTCCGAGATGCCGAACCTTCGTAATCATCATTAGACTCATCTAACTCTTTCCGAATCCTCTGCACTATCCTCAGATTGATATTCAAACTCTCTAAAATTTTGGTACTGGAGCTTGCAGTGCGTATGCCAAGCAGTAAAGCACGATGTTTCCAAATTTCTGGCTGAGTCAGCGATTTGGTGATCTTTTTCTCACGGTCGGTGCCCTAACGACCCTACTATACTAAGCAGTCGACAAAAAAGCAAACAACTATAAAATGGCGACAATTTACCGATCACACACACACACACACACACACACACACACACACACACACACACACAGATATATATATATATAATCTTTCATGCTAAAAGCGGTTGGCCTGACAGTGGGTTTAGCATGAAACAAACTGTCACCTCTGGATATTGACTTCAATATCCATATTTAGCATGCTAACTCAAAAATATAGTATACCATAAAGCTATATTTTATAGATAGATAGATAGATAGATAGATAGATAGATGTGAGAAAGTGTCTGTAGACGAGATGCCAGATCAGGACCTATCACATTGCATATCCATCTCTGGATTTTGTCGAGGACCTCTAGATGAACAGCTTGGATACCGGACCATTTGTGTCAACAGTATTAAATGCAAGGACGAATGATTGATTTGTAGATTTGAAAGATGGAGAAAAATCTTCTGGCACGACACGGATAACCAACTTTCCTTGCGGCAGACGAAGCTATTGATTCAATGTAGTTGTTCCACCTCAAGTCAGTGGAAAGCGTGAAACCAAGAAGGCAGAGAGAGAGAGAGATACGCTCTCGTTCAGTTGAGCATCAGTCCTGCTGATAGGAGGCAGAGAGGTTTCTCTATGGTAGATATATGAAAGCAGTTTTGTTTTGAAAGCATTAAAGTTTACAAACCATTTCTTTCCTCAGTCAACCACAGATTGGAAGTCCTTTTCGAGAGCAACAGCCAGGTTAACTTTGTCAGAAATGCCAGATTTACTATTGCGACTAATATTTTTAATGTAATAAAAAGCAAGTGTAATTAGGATAACTCTAATGTCAGTCAAAAATTAATCATGGCTGACAATGCTTCGTCGCATCATAATCCCAAATTCAATTATTGCTATTTCTTTGACGTTTTCTCTTTTCCTTGTGGCTGCTTCTTGTCAAACATCGTATCATTTTTTAGCGATGCCCAAAGAATTCGTGTTTTTATTTCTTGCTTTCTTCTTTTCCAACAGAATGAGGGTCGAAAATATCGACACGACATCTCGGCTGCACGTGACGAGAGCAAGACGAGAAGACAGCGGTGTTTACGTGTGTAACGCTGAAAACAAATACGGATTTGGAGAGACAACGCGTCGCCTCATTGTGGTTGGTCAGTATTTTTAAACTATAAAGATTTGCGCATTATAATATCTATATCTAAAATTCTCTGATTTCTGTTATTGCGTCCACCATACCCTCTAAATTTGCCATATATTGATCGATCGAAACCAAATTTTGGGAAGAAATGCAAACAGGGAAGCGGGTACAAAGTACAGATGGTTTTACGAGAATGTGTAGCTTAGTACAATAAATTTTAATTAATCTCTTTGAAAAAACTAAAAGTTTTATTATTTAACATACAAAATACTCCCACTATGTCAAAAAAGAATTTAATGTTTAAAATAACCAATAAATTTAATAAAATTGCAATTGTTTTTTTTTTTGTTTTTTTTTGCATATCTTTTCTTTAAGTTTTTATATATACAGGAATCTAGTTTGCCCTGCTTTTGCGAGAACTATAAACAAATCACAAGTCCAAACACTTCAAAAAGTTGAAATTTGGATCCAGAAAGAAATATTTATGCATGGTCCTAAGCATTTATTCTGTGCTGTTAAAAAAGGGAAAAAAGACATTTTTGTGAAGTGTTGTTTGCCATAAGTCCTATAACATTGAATTAAATTAAATAAATAAATAAATAAATAGATATATAGAGAGATATTAAAAGTGTCGGAGATAGATAGATAGATAGATAGATAGATAGATAGATAGATAGATAGATAGAAAGAATTATATCAAAAGTAATTTTTCACATTATTTATCGGAGGTCGACTCGGAGTCTCCTGATTCCCTATTCTTGTATGTTGTACTTACCAGTGAAAAATTTCGAAATTCCGAGTCGATCTTTGATAAGCCTTGCGCATTTACATTAGATCTTTTAAAATAATTATTACTGGAGTTAATTCTTCAGTGTTTTTTGGACAGGAATTCTGCTCACTTTGATATATATATATATATATATATATATATATATATATGTGTGTGTGTGTGTGTGTGTGTGTGTGTGTGTGTGTGTGTGTGTGTGTGTGTGTGTGTGTGTGTGTGTGTGTGGCGGATCCGAAAATTTCTCGGACTTTCATCTTTGATGAATGAAATACTGATTTTGGTTGAGCCGAGAACATTTCATCAATCTTTGTAAATACGTGCATATTCCAATCAGAGATATTATGTTTTACCGGAAGTGTTATTCTTTTATTTTATTTGAATTTTATTGTTTGTTTTCTTTGTAGAGCCACCAGAACGACCAATCGCTTTGAAGATGGAGAATCGGACAAGTCAGACAGTGACTGTTTCATGGAAACAACCATATAATGGCAATAGTCGAATAACGGCTTACATCTTGCAATATAAAAATCTCTCAGGTAAAAGAATTTAATCTCTCTGGGTGTGCAATGTCCCTTCGAGACATTTCTTTACTAAATTTCGCCAGATGCAAAACTCGAGATCCACAGAATCGAAAGGGTTACTGAATTCGGTTTGCAATATGAATGTAAGATGAGTTGATAGAAAGTGAAGATTTTGAGGATAGAGTGAATGGATAACGATTTGTTTTTGATTTGATTGTTCTCAGGGAAGTATCAACGCGGAAGTTTATTTTCAAAGTAATGATTCTTTGGAAAAGCATTTAAAACTTCCTTCTTACAATTGGATTAGAAAGGAAACGAGGGTGATTTGATTCCGTGGATGTAACATCGCATGTAAATGTCTGAACTGGTGTAACCAAAGAATGGAGCGCTCATCTGAACATTTGACATAGAAATAGCGATGGGTTTGCGACGTGGCTGTGTGGAAATTAAAGCATGAATCAATTTCTCCTTTTGCTGGCACATCTTTTTTTTTTTTTTTTAGTTCTGTTGACTCAGTACAATGCCTTGGTGTTAGATGGTTACTGAATGAGGGTGTTGAAAATATATCGCAGTTGACCTGTGACCTGAAGTGCTTAAGATTGAAATAACCGGGAAAGTATCCCTTTGAGTATCTGTCTCTGTAGGACTCCATGGAGATTCTGGGGTATTATAGTATTCTGAGGTACCACAGCAAATAGCTCGCCGAACAATTTTCATGAAAATATTTATAGAAAACGTCGGCATTACATAAACCATTCAGGTTGATATGCCGTAAAACAAACTAAACCAAACCTAAAAATCTTGTCGGCATTAAATAAACCATTGACATTAATATGCCGTAAAAGAAACCAATTCAAACCAAACCAAACCAATATCCATAAAACTCACCTGCACATTTAAACTTTCAGCACCTGGTATTCCCAATCGCTCATCCATATAGGTACTGATCAGGTGTTTAACTTCGGTGAACGTACGAAAACCGGTGTTTCAACATGGTACGGCCGTAAGCCGGGAGTGGTCAGAAAAACATCTGGGAAAGAATTTGTCACAGTTGAACATCCACTTTACCAAAGAGATACGAAAGTAATGTGGATGAGTTGAGCTTGTGTACGTAGCACGTTGGGTCCTAATTGTAAATATCTAAGGTGATGAAGCTAATAAATGTATTTGCCCGTTGAATCATTTTCTATAGTAATGGTGATAGAATATTTAAAATGGGACGATATGGAGAGCCATGATCACCTATATCCTAGAGGGACATAGTGTATGAAAATCGATTCTTGGGTGGTTCACAAGAAGCCGAGACGCTCAGTAACTTGATTACTTGGCAAATAGGCATTATAATCTCAATTACTGGCAGATCGATAAGTTTGGTGGGGAACATTGTGTGGATGTATCCGTATATTGATTTACATATTTCACTCAATGAGATCGGGACATTTTACTTCTCACGGTCTCAGAGATCCTTCCTGCAATAAAATTATGCATGTCACGATTGATTCAGCGTGAAGTGTACCTGTGACAAAAGGAACATTTTTTCAATATGAGGCGTGTAGAAAAGTTTCAGGTGAAAATAGAGTTTCAAATATGGAATCAGCTTGATTCACTTCAGAATTTTCTGATGTGTTGATAATTATTCTCAATCTAAACACGATTTTCTTTGTTTTGGATTCGCGTAATAAATTCTTTTTTTTTTTTTTACGATTTTCTTTAGCAAATGATATCGTTATGTGAGAACCAAGAGGGGAAAGACATTTGTTCAACTTCAGAATTAATTCTAGGGCCAAAAAATAATGTTGCTATTTTCACAAGAAACAAAGCAAAGTTCTAGAGAGAATACGGGCGAGATTTGAACAGATAGATAGATAGATAGATAGATAGATAGATAGATAGATAGATAGATAGGTTAAAATAGAGAAAAATATATTTGGATAAATAAAGAGAGAGAGAATTGAACGCATAGACAGATAGATATGAGCAGATTGAAAAAGAGAGAGAAAAGATATTTGAAAAGATAACGAGGGATAGAGAGATCTAAACACATAGATAGATAGATAGATAGATAGATAGATAGATAGATAGATAGATAGATAGAAACAGACTGCAATAGATAGATAGATAGATAGATAGATAGATAGAAACAGACTGCAATAGATAGATAGATAGATAGATAGATAGATAGATAGATAGATAGATAGATAGATAATGAACAGACTGAAATAGAGAAAAATATGTTTGAAAAGATAGAGCGAGATTGAGAGATGTTAACGCATAGATAGATAGATACGAATACAGTTTGACGGAGAGAGTGAATTGTGATTGAGTAATTTTAACGATTCGATATGACAGAAAAAGGGATAACTAATTGAGATAAACCTCCCCTGAGGTTGAGAATGGTTTGCCTTTCCCCACTGTCACCAGAGGGGCCATTTTCTAGCCAAGATTTCAAATACTAAACCAAGTTACAAAATCTTCCTTCCGCAGTTCTTCCGAATTCTATGCTTACCAAAGAAACGCAAAGAATCAATCGCTTTGTAAGTAGAAGTAATTAATCGAAGCTCTTACAGAACACAAATGCTGACGCAGATTCAAATCTTATCTGATAAAAGTGAAAATCGAGTGAAAATCTGAATGAATGTTGGCGATTGGCTTCGCAATCAGCTCGTCAAAAAGTATCCAAAAATGCTTGGGGGATCGACTTACTTGAATGTTGATCGGAGGTGAACAATTTAATTTCACCCTATGAATAATGGATGATTGCTTTCAGGCATTTCATGAGAGGAGAGCGTTCTTGACCATCATGGAAATTTCCCGCCGTATTTTGTATTTATTCATTTTTTTTTTTTTTTTTTAATTAGGGAAGGGCTATCGTAGCAGAAACAGCATTAAATTTCTGATTGAATATTTTAGACGAGATATTCTTGCAATTTTATGAGGCTTTCTTATTAACGTTCAGTCTCGGCCACAATCTTCTCACACATTGTGACCGGGGATATTTTTCTGCGCCCACGTCTCTACCGAATGTGACACACGGTCGTGGTTTAAAGTGGTTTTTAACAGCAACACCGTGGAAAAATTGCCCAAGCCCCGTTGGCACTTCCCCTTCTGAGGACGCCTCAAGCGCCGGATAATAAACCAAAGCCCCTCATTCAAAACGGACCTATTAATATAAGTTTTAGCTCTTATTTTACATCAGTCACTGTTTTAACACCAGCACTCACCGTGCCTTATCACACACATACACACAAACGCACACACACAAAACAACACACACACACACACACATATATATATATATATATATATATATATATATATATATATATCAAATATGTGGTGCAGTTTAATTTATATTACAATGAATCATTCATACAAAAAGTGAATAAGTAAAGTATTAACTTTACTAATTTACTTTTTTATGAATGATTCATTGTAATATAAATTAAATAAAATGGCGAAATCTCTTCGCTAACAAAACTAACCTACCAATCACTAGATGAATGTTATGATCCTTGTTTTTTAAAATTATAAACTGCATTAGGTCCTCCTAATACACTAATTATAAACTCCATTAGGTCTTCAGTCTATAATTTTAAAAATCAAGGATCATAACATTCATTGAGAGGTTAGTTGGTTAATGCATCTTTAAAATTTAGTTAGCGAAGTGATTTCGCCATTTTATATCATTAACTTTACTAATTTACTTTTTGTAAGAATGATTCATTGATATATATATATATATATATATATATATATATATATATAATAGTGGTTATCATCACACACACACACACACACATATATATATATATATATATATATATATATATATATATATATATTAAAGACATTTTTATGTTTAACGTTCTTTTTTATAGATACAAGTATTTAAGTAAATGCTCTGTTTATAATAAACAGTATTAAATAACATTTACCGGCCTGAATGTCCGAGAAATTTTCATAGAAAATATTCGTCCTTTGTTCTATGAAAATTTCTCGGACATTCAGGCCGGTAAATGTTATTTAATACTGTTTATTATAAACAGAGCATTTACTTAAATACTTGTATCTATAAAAAAGAACGTTAAACATAAAAATGTCTTTAATAAATAAATTGTCGGACTTTGTCCATTTCTTAATATATAAATATATATATATATATATATATATATATCAAATATATACATATACATACATACACATATATATAAAAGTTTCCAAGAGGATAGAATCCAGGTAGAACTCCAGGACAGAGTAAGGATATAATAAAAAGGCTTAAACACTAATATTCCATGGTTATAATTTATTACATTGGAATAGTAATTACGATCCAATTCATCAGACACATATTTCAACTTTATCTGTATCTCACTCATTTAAACCGTCTTCTAACTTCTCTTTTGAATTACTCTCTATTAAATCTTAATCCCCACCTTTACTTTAAGGCCTTCCTCTTCTTCTTTCGTCTGTTACCCCTCTCTAGAACTTCTCACATTTGTCCCCCACTCTCATACATACACTCTCGCGAAATTTATTTTTTTATTCCCAGAGTATTTTTTCTGATTTCTTTTTTTGAATTTGTAGGTCTGATGAATTGGATCGTAATTACGATTCCAATGTAATAAATTATAACCAGGATAATGTTTAAAGCCTTTTTATTTTATATTTATATTTATATATATATATATATGTGTGTGTGTGTGTGTGTGTGTGTGTGTGTGTGTGTGTGTGTGTGTGTGTGTGTGTGTGTGTGTATAGGAAGCATACCTTCATGCAAGCATGTTTCATTAAATAATATTATGCCAATTTACAATAATCCGTTCTAGTTCTCTAATTATCTTTTTGTTGTTATGATAACTGACTTATATTCACTTACGTGCTAATAACATTAGGAAAGGTATGAATCCTCTGTTTCTCCCCTCAACTATGGGTAAATAGCAGGTCATACCGGGTTCTATAACCTTGGATGGCAAGTGGTCTTCCGCTGATAGTAATGGCAACCTACTGTAAGAAAACATCTGCCTCGTCAGTCATGTATCGAAAGATCGCCTAAGTGTGTATCCCGTATGGCACGTAACTGAATGACTGTCAGAAAATAGGGACCATTTTAAAGAAATGCATTGAAATAACAAATGATTTGCAAAAGTTTGTTTGAATTCTATCCCAGTTATTCTTTCTCTTCAACCTGTCAGATTCAAAAATCTTATATTGTATTCCATGATACTTTTATAAAATCTTTTTTCCTTCGTCCAGATCTTTGGCCAAGAATATCGCCCAATGTGACCATATTCTCCACTGACAACCTCACAGCAGACATACACGATCTGCACCCGTCCTACAAGTACCATGTGCGTGCATTAGCCGTCAACGCTATTGGGATAGGCCTGCCAAGTAACGAAATCACAATATTCACGGACGAGGAAGGTAAGAAATCTCAGCGGCATTTTTCACGTCTCTTTAGTAGGGTCCCCGGAAAATTGCTCGAAATCATTTGCTCGACAGTAAATTGCTCGAAATCAGTTGCTCAACAGTAAATTGCTCGAAATCAATTGCTCGACAGTAAATTGCCCGAAATCAATTGCTCAACAATAAATTGCTGGAAATCAATTGCTCGACAGTAAATTGCTCGAAATCAATTGCTCGACAGTAAATTGCTCGAAATCAGATGCTCAGCAGTAAATTGCTCGAAATCAATTGCTCGACAGTAAATTGCTCGAAATCAATTGCTCAACAGTAAATTGCTCGAAATCAATTGCTCGACAGTAAATTGCTCGAAATCAATTGCTCGACAGTAAATTGCTCGAAATCAATTGCTCAACAGTAAATTGCTCGAAATCAGATGCTCAGCAGTAAATTGCTCGAAATCAATTGCTCAACAGTAAATTGCCCGAAATCAATTGCTCGACAGTAAATTGCTCGAAATCAGATGCTCAGCAGTAAATTGCTCGAAATCAATTGCTCAACAGTAAATTGCCCGAAATCAATTGCTCGACAGTAAATTGCTCGAAATCAATTGCTCGAAAAGTAATTTCTCGAAATATTTTACATGCAGGAAGTTCAAACTTTATACTTTGAGTTAACATTAATAGGAACTGAAAAACATATTATTTAGGTAAGAAAATCAGGTACTGAAAATTGTAATTAAAAATAGGAAAATTTGCGAATGGTACAATATACCCATGGTTAGTGTTCTAGGGTTAATAAAATGTTTACAATTGATTTCATTAAAAAAATATACATACACACACATATATATATATATATATATATATATATATATATATCTTATGCATTGTTATATTAGAACATGCACATATCCACTACAAAATTGCACATTTGTATTTCAACCCTATCTAAATATTTTCGGCATCTGAAGGAAATAAATAAGACACCTAAATAAAATGGAAAATTATAAACAGGGCTAGGACATGTAAAACTTGGGATGACCCATGCCCTTTGTGCCT